GAAGTCTGTATTGCTTGATATGTACCACCCCTGGATATGTGTGTCAATAAAACGAGCCTGAGTTTGTGGAGAGAGCAGGATTCAGCAGTCACCCCCCTGACTCTCCGCTGGACCCTCCCTGTGCACAGGCGAACTCGAGCAACGACTTTTGTCTTTTCTTTATACTTTGTGAAAGTTCTTGATCAACGAATCCGGGGTGGTAAAACCTTACCACAACAACTTTGGGGGCTCGTCCGGGATTCCAAGAAAAAACAGAGAGTTGATCAATAGAACCATTGGACACAAGGACCTGGTGTGAACAGACAAAGGACACGGGCCCAAAATAAGGTAAGCAGAGCTTTTCTTCTGCATTGGAAATAGCTAAATTTTAGTTGTGTCCTGAGTCCTAGTAACACCTTGTCCGTAAATTAATTTAAAAGAATACTGGGAAATATGTGTGTGAAGAAGTAAAGGTACAGAGAAATAAAGAAGTGAAATAAGAGTAAAAAGAGAAAAAGGAACAGAAGTCTAACAGGGTTAGATGTCTTTGGGTGTGGCAACCCCCACCGTACTCTGACGAGAGGCGGTTACAGCTGGGTTTGAGGCCCGGAGATTTGAGGACCCCCGAATTCTACAAGAGAAAAGAATAGAACAAGACCACTGCAAAACACATCGTGTGAATGTTGGACTACTGAAAACTGAAACACAACGGTCTCGCGTAGACAGTTGTTGAAGTAAGTGGACAGGAAATCCAAATTACTGATTTATAAAGTTTTGGTGTCAAGATTCAAGTTTACGGCTTGAATTGCTTGGACTGAGTACCAGGGACACAGCGTGCCATAGCTCTCAGTCGGCCAAAACTTAGACAGAAGAGAAAACACAATAGAGTAACAAAATAACTGTGAGTCGTTCATGCCCTGAACGACAAGACCAGCAGAATAAAAAGTCCTGTGAGTTCAAAAGCACGTTCCTTACATAAGAGAAAAGAAGCACACACAAAGGTTTATACTTTTAGCCTGAAAAGAAAGTACACGGATCCATATTTTAAATGTGTATTGTTATGTTGAAATAAATGTGTGATAATTGTGAATGAGTGGGTACTTCAAGAGTTGTTATACTGACTAGGATCAGTCTCTGAAGTAAGTGTTATTTTAACCTGTAACAGTTGTGATTAAAATTGAGAAAGTTGGTTCACCTTTGACAGCTGTGTCCGCAGAAAACTAGTTTCTGTAGAAGCTTGGCACAGTCGATGTTCACTGGGAACGCTGTGACTGATCGTTAATCACAACACCTTGTAGTTTTAAAACGTGAAACAAGACAATAAATAAATAAATAAAAACAAATAAATAAAAACAAA